CCCCCGCCGCCCCGGCGGGCAGCACCAAAGCCGCCGGCTGGACCCCGCGGCCGGCCTCTCCCTGCCTCCGGAGGCTTCTGGCTGTTTACCCTCAGAAATTGGAGATTTTGGAGAAATTGGAAAATCTGGAGGTTTTCCAGAGATGCTCGCCCCAGCCCCTCTCCTGACGGGACTCATCCCAGCACTGCCCCGCGCTCGCACACAGGCAGGCGTTGGTTCACCTCCCGCAACACGGCAATTTGCAACCACGACTGGGATCATTTTACAGGGATAATCCCCAATGGCACCATCCATGGGACAGATCCTGCTGGAAGCCTCTGTGCTCAGCCCTCTGCCACCGTGCCGTGCATTGTCCCTTCCTGCCGCGGTCCTCGTGCGCATCCCCAGCTGTCACCGAAGGAGCCGAGTTTAGGGCTGCTTACCGCAGTAGGCAAACTTGAGGGAGAGGACGCAGCTCTCGTGGAGGTGCAGCTGGTACTTGTCGGGTTTTGTGTGGTGCAGCACTTCCACGTTGCTGCTCTCCATGCCCACTGCGAGCCACTCGCCCGTCGGGCAGTACCCCAGTGAGAAGATCTGCAGGGGGGACAGAGGGGTGCTCAGGGAGGGGTTTGCACCCACCAGCTCTGCCTGCAGCCCCCTGACCGAGCAGGCACCAGCCACCTCTGTGTCCCTGGCAATTCCCCATCGGGAAGAGAGGCCCATCGCCCGGGCACGAGCCGAGCTGGGGGTGATCCCGTTGGTGATTTTAGTAACGTGATGGCAGCGAGGCTAGCCATTCAGAAGAGAAACAGCCCGACAGGCAGGGAAGGACGCAGCCTGGTCTTCTTAGATCACCAAGTGGCCCCAGCCACTGAAACACGGGCACAGCAAAGCTGGGAGCCAGCGGATGGCATCTGCCCCTGCAGCGCAGCCCTGGCTCTTGCCCTGGCCGAGGCACCCCGGCTGAAACACAGCCTCTTCCAGGGACAGCACTTCTGTCTCTGGACAGAAAATACCTTCCTGGCATTCTCCAGAAGAGGAAAACTAGGCACGGAAGGCAGCAAGACTAAATAAGCTCTAAGCCACGGCTACTCGTGGGCTGGAAACTGTGGTGGCACGGCTTCTGGATGCCCAGCTCCATGATGGCGAGTGTTAATGCAGTGGAAAGTCCCGACCACCAGTGCCATGGGGTCAGCAGCTGGGATGCAGCAGAGACCTCGGCCACGCTGCTGCCTTTCTGGACGCTGATCACACAACTCCAGTTTCACCAGCCATATGGCATTGGTGGAGGCTGCTGGCCAGCCCTGAAGAGGTACAGCAGGATCCGGAGAGGCATGTGCACGTATTCAGGGGTTCGGAGCAGCTGCGCGAAACCTGCGAGTGCCAGGGCGGCTCCAGCCCCACGGAGACTGCTGCATTTGCCAAGAGGACACAAGGTCCCAGCTTTGGACAAGGGCTCCGGGAGGCTCTGCAGGCAGAGGCAGGTGCCTGAGCCCTGCAGCCATCCCACCTGCAGGGCACCCAGAGCCAGCCTGTAACACCCGCGGGCATCCCTAAGCAACCACTACTTTCTTAATGGCAACCTAGTCTTGCAGTGGATGAAAAAGCAATGAAAGAGGAGCCGAAACAAAAGCCAGGCAGGGAGCCCTGCAGCTCTTGCTGCCTTGAACATTCCTGTGTTACACCTAGAGCACTGGGACAGCCATGCACAGAGCTAACAGGGGCCCGTGCAGGCCACTTTCCCAGCAGGAAGAGCCCCCTCCCACACACAGACCAGCTGCCGAGAGGGCTGCCCCGGTTTCCATGGAGGGATAAACCCCTGTATGGGGTCTCCACAAGGAGCTGCACAACGAGGCCAGGATGTTCCCCCTCCCAGGGCCAAGGGCACCCCATGCTTACCTGGGAAGTAAAGTCATGCTGCTGGAGCTGCCTCCCTTCCCGCAGGTCCCAGGAGCGCACTGTGTTGTCCAGACCCCCCGTCCACAACTTTGTACCATCGTGCGAGATATCTATGCAGCTGGCACCATCTGTGTGGCCTTGGAATTGCCTTTAAACAACAAAAAATAATGCAAACCTCCAAGGGGAACACTAGCAAAAAGCACGTAGGGAGCTGGTGCTCAGGCTGCATTTATGAGGCTTCCCTGCACCAAGCACACCTGGAAATCTAACCAGGGAGCATCCTTTACCAAGGCACACCAGCCCGGCCAAGCCCGCTGGGCTCACTTACAGACAAAGCATCACGAGATAGCATTCTTGTTGCTATCCCCAAGGCACTCATGCCAAAACACGGCCAGAAAGACCCCGATTATGGAGAAGAGCAACCCCCGGTGCTCCCAGCCCTCCTGCCGCAGCCGCGTGCCGAGGCTGGCTCACCTGACAAGCGTCTGGTTGTGCAGGTCCCAGACGGCAATGTTGCCGTCGCTGCAGCAGGAGAAGCAGACTTTGGCGTCGGGGCTGATGGCCAGGGCGTAGCAGGCGGGAGCAGAGGAGGTCAGCTCGGCCTTGATGCGGGGTGTGGGGGAAGCCAGGTCCCAGATGGTGAGCGTGCTCGCCTCGCCTCCCACGATCAGCGTGCGGCCATCAGGGAGGAGTTTGCAGGAGCGGATGTAGTTATCTCTGTTCTGGAGGAGAAAGAGATGTTAGCAGGAGGACAATGAATGATTGCATTAAGAGGCAGGGGAAAGCAGGAGGGGACACACGCTTGGGGACCAGAAGCAATCCATTATGGCTTGCTCGTTTGCGCGTGCATCAGGAATGCTCCAGCTCCCACGCGAGGCAGCACTGCCCCAAGTCCCCTTACCAGGCAGTCCAGCTGGGAGATGGGGCTCTTGCTGCCCGGCTGGCTGATGTCCCAGATCTTCACACACCCCTTTCCCCCCGTGTAGACGTGCCTGGTGGGGTTGCTGATGGTGACGGCGCACACCACCTCCCCGTGGCTCAGTGTGTTGATCTGCCGGGCGTGCCGTGGGATGCCGGGACCCGCCAGGGCATCGTGGGGAAAGGGGACCGGCTGCATCTGCCCATCAGCACTCACGTGGAAGGAATAGGCTCTGCCGGGGAGGGCAAATGGGGGGGTCAGCCCCGGAGACAGAGGTTTGCTGCAAACCCAGGGTAAGGGGGGGGGGGGCGTTGGGTGGCATTGCAACCCAGGTTGTGCCTTGCTGGGGGCCAGAGGCCACCACTGCTCTCCAAGGTCTTGGCCGGACCCAGCCCTGGGTGAAGCCCCATGCTCATCTCCCTCCCAGGCACACTCATCCCCACCCAGTGCACAAGAAGACCAAGAGGGGCTTACGGTTTCCCTCCGGGGATGGACGCCAGGCTCGACGGCAAGCCGGGGGCTCTCATGGGTGGGTGCGGGTCAAAACCAACCTGCCAAGAGACACACACATGGGTAAGGCCAGGCATGAGCTGGGCACGCGAGAAAACAGCTTCCCGTCCACAAGCCTGGGCAGGCGTGGAGACACTCAGTAGCTCCCTCTTTTTCTTTGCTGCTAAATAGCTAATCATTACTTTTTCCCCTAGCGAATGACTGGGGAATTAGCCGAAGACTTCCAGTCTGCAGGGACCGGTGTGGGACATGCTCACCCTCCCCATGCTGTTCCCAGGCCCCCAGGGACAGGAGCAGCCAAGCCATGCCCAGCACCCTGGCTGCAGAAACTCCCATCTCTCAATTAATAGCAACATTCTGCTTCTTGTTTTGCCTGTATTTTGCCTTAAAGCATACGACTGAGCGTTTAGCAAGAGTAAGGGGAAGGGGGCTGCACAGCTGGTACTTCCCATGCATAGAGGGAAAGATAAATCCCAATGTAGCGGCACATGCGCATCACCCCATGGGGAGGCATGTCCATGCCCAGCACCCTTTGATGGTGGCTGACTCAAAATGCAGCCAGTGAGGAGCCCCAGTTTCACAGCTGACACAGGGAAGCCCGCCCTGCACCCCCCCCAAACTCTCCCCACACCCACCACCCCACCGGGAGCGAGAAAAGGAGCTAAAAGTGCTACGTACAGCTCCAAAGCTCACCATTGGCGACCGGCCATAGGCAGCGGCGGCGGCGGCGGCGGCACTCATCTGTGGGGGGATGTTGTGGAGCCCTGCGTAGGCGCCGGGGCTGGTGAGCGAGCCATTCATCTCATGGTGCCCCATCATGGCGAAGGGAGCTGCGTAGGAGCCCGCGATGGAGATGGGTGTCCGCAGGGCCGAGGCTGCGGGAGGGTTGGGGACACGGTCAGGGGACGGAGCCCGCCAGCATCCAGCCCCACTCACCCCAGAGGAGGAAATGAAATGGCTGGACCTCCCTCCTCACCCCACCTCTGGCATGAGGACCACTGGAGCTGCTGGCATCCCTGTCCTGAGCTGCATTAGGTCCCCAAAAAGCGTGACCCCCCCGCAAGCTGCTGTGCCCCCAGTGGAGGGCACGGGCTGAAGCCATGCTGGGGACAGCAGCAGAGTGGGGGCACCAGGGGACCGCGGGGCACCCAGGGCAGCAGTACTCACCCAGGGGGTCCATGCCGGTCGGCTTGCCGGGCATCGGCCGCAGCCCTGGGGTGCTGCTCGTCCCTGGGGTCGGAGCGTCATTCCTTGGCGTCGGAGTGTTTGACTTGAGCCCGGGCGTCGACGATTTGTCATTCTGGATAGAGAAAGGATGAAAAAAAGAAAGGATAAGGTTCAATCACTGGCATCCGCAGCCCCTGCTCGGCAAGCCCCCAGACCCAGAAAGCATCCACAGCTGGCGGGGCCCGACCCCCCTGGCAGAACAAAGGACGTACATGGCCCAGGTCTTTAGTCTTGGAGGAGGGAGTGCTGCTGGAGGAGGCAACCGAGGCAGGGCTGTTTGGCGCATCCCCCTTCTTCAGCCCACGGGCTTTGTCTATGCCGTTCTCCGGGGGGGAGTGAGCTGGGCTGACCCGGGGGGTGGCGGGGTCCTGCGAGACAGGAGAAAGCATTGGCACCCCCAGCAGCAGTGAGGGCTCCCTCCGGCTCCCCTTTCAGGCAGGAATTGGGCCGGTGCCGGGGGGCCCCTAAGGCATCGCCCCTCAGCCCCCAAACCCCCACCGTGCCGCAGGGAGAGGAGCGGACCTGCCGAAATGCCCCCACAGCTCACCTCGTTGGAGACATCGACCACCAGGTCATCGCTCTTGTCACCATCGCTATCCTGAAACACAAAGTGAGTTACACCCCGCAGAGCTGCCAAACCCTGGGGTGGGGGGCAACCCCCCAGGGAGCCAAACCCCCCCAGCAGCAGGACACAGGTCACCCACACCACGTTTGGAAAGTTTTACCCAAACCCCGCTTTCTCCCACCCAAAGTCCTGCCCAAACACATGCCGCATGCCCCGTGCCTTGGGCCACCACGTCCCCCAGTGGCTCTCAGCACCCCCCGGCCACCAGACCCAGCTGCAGACTGTCCCTGCCACTCACATATCGGCTCATGCTGTCCTTCTCCTCTGCTTTCCTCTTCTTGGAGTCGATGCTGTAGTCTGTGGAGCTCCGGTGCTTCTCGCTGGCTCTCAGGCTTTCCGAGGGCGAAACGGAATTATTCTGCAGTAACAAACAAAACTTTCAAGTTGGAAACAGAAGGAAACAGGACTTCATGATCAGCAGCTTGGAAGGTGCTGCAAACAGCCCTCCAGCCAGCACCGAGCCCAAAACCCAGCCCTGCCCTAGACTGTGAAACTCCATCAGTGGGGTGAGACTCCCGGCCCCACCATGCTAGGGAGCTGGGGATGGGGTCCAGCCTAGGCTGGAGGATGGCCACCACCGCACTGAGCATCACTTCGAGCCCCGGGGATGCTGCCAGGGCAGCCCCGTGCGGCTTCTCCATTCCAGCAAGGCTGCTTGTGGGCACCCGAGCCTATTTACTGCAAAAAGCACAGCAGAAAAAAAGGGAGGAGCTGGTTGTTGTTTAAAAAGGCAAACCCTGGGAGGAAGCGGTGTGCAATTACAGCAGCTCCCAGCAACCGCTGGGATCCACCGGCAGGTACTGGGCAATGCAGAGAGGGGAAAAGCTGCGCTCCCCTAAACCAGCCCCATCATCCCCTGTCCCCCACAGGGAGTACCAGAGCTCTGCCCCGGCCCTGGGCAGGGGAAGGGCTTTGCACAAGGGCTGGCACCCACGAGAGCCCATGAGTGCTTCCTCCAGTATCAGCAGAGCTGGGGCCTCATCCCTGGTGTTCATTAGGAGAGCAAAGGAACTGCTTCATCCCACCCCTGGCTAAGCCGCACCAGCAGCCGAGCTCTGCCGAGCCAAAGGGCACCCAAAAAACATTTGGAAAAATCCACGTCGCCAGGGGCGGCGGAGCTGGGTGCCCCGCAGTGCAGCTCTGCTCAGGGGGGGGGCTTTCTGTGCCCGCTTCAAGCAGCAAAGCCCAGGAGATGCTGGCATTCCCAGGAAAGCCCCTCGCATGCCAGGACTGGGCCGGGAGCAAAAATGGCAGCACAAAACCACCCCAAGAGCGCCGGAGAAAGCCCAGCCCTGCATCGCCCTGTGGCATGGCCCCGGCCCCGCGCAGATGCCCTTCAATTAGTTTCTCGGAGCAGCAAGAGAAATTACCATCATTTCGTGTCTTGTAGCAGAGCCTGCCACCCCTGCTAAGCAGAAATGTTCCTAAGCTCCTCTGCCTGCCTTTCTTTCCCGGCTGAAAGGGAGAACTAAAGCAGTTCATGTTTCTCCTCGGTACCCAATAAGCAGCTTTGGATAACACCGGGGTCTTTCTTCTCAGGCAGTCATGCTGAAAAACCTCGCAGCTACCAGAGAATCATGTCAAGCATTTAGAGGCATCGATCCATTCAGCCCGTCACTGGCCCGCCGCCAAGAAACTAAATATTTTTTATTGCGCAGGCAAGGCTAGGAAAATATGAATGACTAACTCTGATTATTGTGCACATTAAACCTCCACGGGGAATACCCCATATTTTATTTTATAGATCGGGAACCTTCCCATCTCTGACGGCCCCCTCCCCACCGAAGGAGCAGGTTAATGATGCCCAATTCCCCTCTCCCCCCTTAAATAGCACTTTTCTTCCCATCCGCCCCCGGCTCTCAAAAGGCCCATTTGTGGGCTCGGGGATGGCAGGAAATCGCTGCAAAGCCGCGGCTCAGCCGGGCTTTGTCCTGCCAGCTTTTCCCCGAGACAGCGGCATTGTGCGCCCCAAGGGCGGGGGGCGCGGGCTCAGCCTCCCCCCACGGGGAGGGCAGCCCCCCACCAGGCTCCTACCAGCTTCTGCCCACCGAAAAATATATTCATCGCCCTCTCCATCCACGCTCAGGCACTGCACCCAGCCAAAACAAGAACCAAACGGCTGCTATTAACACCGAGATGTCGGGGAAACAAATAAAAAGCAGCCGTGCTGGAGGTGACGGTTGCCCTCCACCACGGTTATTTAGCTGGTTAGTTAACTGCTTGACCTTCCAAGTCCTACTTAACACGGCGTAATAGCCAAACCCATCCCGACAGATTAGATGACCCAAGATAATAGAAGAGTGATCAGGAATAAAATAGCTTTCCTAATCGCTGAAGGAGTTTTAGCTGCACAGACTTGACTGTGCTCATTCACAGGGCTTAGTCAATTGAAACCGAATCTTGAAGCTCTGCAGCAATCAAAAAGATTTAAACCAAATCTCATAACTGGCCCGGAGGAGGCGGCTCCACTCGCTCTGGCACAGCCAACAGCCCAGCAGCTCTTCCAGCCAGGGTGGGGTTTTTTTTCTTGCCTTTTTTTTTTTTTTTTAAATTAAATAGGACCTGTGCAAAAGACGTCCCTGGAGCTCACACCCACAAGCCTGTTTTTTAAAACAACAGATAAAACAAAAACATGCAGCCACCAGAAGCTGACAAAAAAGGAGGTTAATAGAACTTACTGCACTTGAGTCTCGCTCTTTTAGAAGACGACGGTGTCAGAGACAAGGTCACAGCCAAAATAAAGAGAAGACAGAAAAATAAAAGCAAGTTAGAATAAGTCTTAAAACAGAGAAAAAAAAAAAATCCAGAAGCTCCTCATTAACTCAAAACCTATCTGGGCTCTCTTCAGCTTTGCTTTAAAATTCATATCCCTTGTCCATCCAGCTCCCGCTGCCTCCTCCCCCTTTCTTTTTGATAGTGTGATTTATTTGGCAAAACAGACAGAGGAAAGGGGAAATGCCCTGAAATGCAAGAGGAACGGCATCAGCCTAAGGCTCTTGTACCCAAAGTCACAAACCCAGGAGAAGGTCCCGACCACCCGTCCCCACAGCCACATCAGTGGGATGTGGTTTAGCCATTAATTTGTACACAAACAGCCCTGTTTTCCCTGGGATCTCCTGGTAATTTGAATCCATGGAGAAAAATAAGAAAAAATTGGATAATTGCTACCAATAGTTTTTTCTCACTGGCTTTCACGGGGAGGAAAAACACCCCAAATCCACCAGCAGAAGAGCCCAACAGCTTCGTGAGGCTGTTGGATAACTGCCCTGCAAATGGGTGTATTACGGGGAAGATCTCAGATCTTCATGTGTTAATGGGCAGGGGGATTTGTGAGGAAAATCTTCAATGCTGCTGGTTTGCAACCAAACTCATGCATCATTTCTTCTTCTAAAAAGATTGTCATATCACTAATAATAAGAAAAAACAAGTTTGCTAGTGAATACTGCTGGTTTCCAGACCATCGAAAGTCTCTGACAGTGAGAGGAGGAGGAGGAGGAAGGCTGCTTCACCATTAAGGCATGGCTGAATGGGGACGCAGGATTTGCAGCAGGACTCCATCAAAGCCTGTGAGGACTCAAACCTGCGTGCAAACTCAGGAGGCACACGAGCAAATCAACCCGACAGAGGTCAATCTGCCAGTGTAATTTCCTGGGGCAATTTGCATTCCCTGCCCTAAATGAGCACAGAAAGGAGCAGTCAGGAGGCAAGTCCCCTCCTCCCCTGCCACCTCAAAAACCCCACCATCCCCGAGCTGCTCCCAAGGATCTTCTTGACCTCAGCAAACAAGAAAAGCAGGGAAAGTTTTGTGATCGCCTAGAAACTGCCACTGGGAATTGCTGCAACAGCGGCGGCACCTCCTTTGGCTGCCCGTGCTGAGCTAAGGGGCTCAAGCATCATTTAGGGAAAGCTACACCCCTAAAAGCAGAAGCCCATCCCCTGAAGCCCGTTCCCTCGAGGGATGGGGCGGTGGGAGCAGAGCCATGCCTGGACCAGGGCATTTCTAGCACCACGGGATGCAGCGATGAGCAGCGCCCAGGGACCGCATCGACCCAACCCCTCGCTCTCACCTCTGTGGTCCAAGTCGTGATGGTTTTTCTCATCCTTGAC